CGCCCGCGGCCGCGCGGCGGGGAGGCGCGCGTTCGTCGCGCCGGGCACCGTACTCGGCCCCGTGTAGGCGTTATTTTGTCCTCCCCGAAAACCCACGGGGGTCGGTGCCGAGATTGTCTGCCGTACTAAAGGAAAGCCAGAGACCCGGAGAAGTTAACTTGTCCGCGATCACACAGCTGGGCAGTGGTGGGAGGACACGGTCGTTCCCAGTTCGAGGACCCGATGGGAAGCTGCCGGGTATACCGGTAACAATCATCGGCAGCACCGGAAGAAAGCGGCCCGCCACATCCAGAGGAAGCACACGGTGGGGACAGGGGCCGGGGGCTGTGCCACAGACCCTGCCTGCCCCGCTCAGCCCCGCATTCTGTGCTGCTGGGATTTAAGCTAGGCTCTCCAGGCGGAGCTAGATCCCGTGGATCTTTCCAGGAAGCAGCGAGGGCTTAGGGCAAAGGCATATGAAGACCAGATAGTGCAAGAACACACAGAAGTCCATGGGCCTGAAGAGAGGGCTTTGCTCTGAGGCTGCAGAGGTGGAAGCGGTGGGAAGGCCTGGCCTTGGTCAGTTGGGTGAACTGTAGGAGGATCTGGCATCCTTTATACCAACAGAACCCCAGAGTTTCAGCTTCCTGGCCACTCTGCCTTAAGGTGCAGGGCTGCAATACAACCCAGCCCCTACCTGTCCCTAGACAAGTGAAGGCTTCAGGTAGGGTTCACAGTCCCCATGAACATGAAAGATTGCAGCCATCCATTTGAAGCAGAGGTAGGATTTCAGAGAGTAAGGAGAAGGGGGCAAAATGCTAAGGGGAGCTGGCATGACCCCAGTCAGGGTTGATCCCAGTCCCCAAGCCCTGTTTGCCTGTCCAGGCCTCTGCAGACTAAAACTACCTGAAGAGAGTAAGGCTCTCTTCCTCACCAGTCTTTCCCCTCCAGCAGCTCTGTGCCCATCCTCTGACACCCAGCAGGAGTCCAGCCTTGGTCAGGCCCAGCATCCAGACAGACCCAGAACCTCTTGTGTACAATCTAGGCAGATTTTTCTGCTCTTCTTTTGTCCTCATTTTCTGAAGTGACTCCATGTTCTGCTTCACAGTGACTCTAATGAATCTGCATGCTGGTTCCTCGAAGTCACTACTTTGCAAGTAGTTGCCAGGCTTCTGTTCAAGAATGCATTTCTACAATGTTATAAGGACAATCTATCCTCAGGCATGCTATAGTAGGAGTTCCTGTCTGCCCAGAAGGTGCAGCCAGTAGTCCAGCCTCCCACCAGAATTATACTAGGTCTTCATCCCCAACTGGTGGCTGATCAAGCTTCTGTTAGTTTCCAGTGACAGGAGCATCATGTTTTTTGGTTATTGCTTCATGTATGAAAGCAGACCTTGTGTACATGTCTGTTCTGGTCAGGCTCTAGGTTGTGTTACTAGTCCCCATCTTCTTGATGTGTGAGACAGCGGAAACTGAGGGAGAAAAAGTCAGAATTTCAAGGAGTTTGAGCAGTGTCAAAAAAAAAAAATCCAGCTCTTTAATCGACTTGAGATTTTCAGCAAATTTAGCTTGTCGGGGAGGGTTAGTTAAGTAAGGACCAAGACAGATTTGTCCTGGAATAAGGAGACTTGGCCTTAAGGCTTTTCTATTTATCAAGGAATAGGAGATGCTTTTCTAAAAAAGCAGTTGAGCAACAGTCTTGTTTGTGCCTCTCGGTGAAGCAGCTGGGTTTTTGCTGGGTCATCATCAGTAGATGGTTCCTGTATGCTCATGACAAGCGTGCAGACTGGGCACTAGTAAATCTGCAGTTTACCATTTCTCCACTGAAACGTCCCAGCAATGCTAAGTCACTGTTTATTTTGCAAAATCTCACTGAGTGCCTGCCATATGTCAAGCCCTGTGCTGTGAAAAGATGCAGTAGTGCGGGGTGCTCATGGGATAGGGGCATGCAGGAAATGACCAGACAGGATGGGTAGGCCCCAAGATAGGAGTCAGCAGTGTGCTGGAGATCCTGGAGGCGAGGAGCCTGCCAGACACAGGCCACACTTGAGATACAGAGGTGTCCAAGTTGAGAACTGGTGCGTGATACAGGGTATCTCCACTTCTCCCAGATAACGTGCTTTCCACTCATCGCCTCGCGCCCCGAGGCCTAGAGGAGATAGGCCCACAGAGCAAGCAGATGCAATGAATAATGCTGATTTCTCTTATTTCTGAAAGATTTCCCCGTGGACAATGGCAGCTACAATTCAGGCCATGGAGAGGAAGATTGAATCACAGGCTGCTCGATTGCTTTCCCTAGAAGGTCGAACTGGGATGGCAGAGAAGAAGCTGGCCGACTGTGAGAAGACTGCTGTGGAATTCGGGAACCAGCTGGAGGGCAAGTGGGCTGTGCTGGGGACCCTGCTGCAGGAGTACGGGCTGCTGCAGCGGCGCCTAGAGAACGTGGAGAACCTGCTGCGGAACAGGAACTTCTGGATCCTGAGGCTGCCCCCGGGCAGCAAAGGAGAGGCCCCCAAGGTAACATCTGGATGCCCTGGAGTGGGGAGCCCAAGGACCCGTGCCTGTGAGCGTGTGGGTGAGCGAGGTGACCCTTGTGGTTCCAGGTGCCCCTGACCTTTAATGATGTGGCCGTGTATTTTTCTGAATAGGAATGGGGCAAGCTGGAGGACTGGCAGAAAGAGCTCTACAAGCACGTGATGCGGGGCAACTATGAGACGCTGGTGTCCCTGGGTAAGGCCTGATGTGTATGCCTCCATTAAGTGGGATTTTACAAGACTCTAGACTTCTCTCCATGCTGCTTGTTTTCTTCTCAGTGAAATATAAATCCCCAGATAACGCTGAGTAAAGAGAATCCCTCCTCCTAATGGTGGTACAGAATGGCAGGTCACATACTCCCTTCTGTCTGCTGGAGTGGCAGAATGAAGGAGGTAGGCCCCTTTCCTTACAGGCCCAGAGATGGACATCTCTTCTTGCTGAGACCCTTGGGTGAAGTTACCACCCTACACTGGAAAAGGACTTCTTTCCAGTCATAACAAACCACAGGGTTTGTGGAGAACATTGCCTCTTGCAGAACACATTGCTTCCGTGTCCCAAAGCCTGTCTTGCCCCAGCCCCCGAGGGAACTGCCCAGGAAGGGCCTGGATTCTGTTTCTTCTTGGCCTTATTTCCTCTCATAATGGCCTCTGTGTGACCCCAGAGCAAAGGGCAATCAGATATGTTTGGTGGGGATGGGAATGGTTGCAGATGGGATGTTATATTCTAGTTTGCAGATAGATGTGTATCCCAACTTTATCCAGAAGCTGTGTAGCCAGCATCACTTGATACTTTGGACTAGATAATTGTTGCTTAGGAGCTGTTGTATATAGCCAGATGTTCAACAGCAACCCTAGTCTCTGCCCACCAATGCCTTCTCACCCCCTGAACTCTACACAAGATCATCTCTTTTTTTTTTTTTTTGCCAGTCCTGGGCTTGAACTCTGGGCCTGGTGCTGCCCCTGAGCTCTTCAGCTCAAGGCGATCACTCTACCACTTGAGCCACAGTGCTACTTCTGGTTTTTTTCTGCTTATGTGGTACTGAGAAATTGAACCCAGGGCCTCATGCATGCAAGGCAAGTACTCCACTGAGCCACCTTTCCAGCCCCCAAAATTGCCTACTCTTGAGAACCATTGCTCTATCCCAGTTAAGGTAGTTCATTTCTAGCTGGGCACCAGTGGCTCACACCTGTAATCCTAGCTGAGGAGGCTGAAATCCAAGGATTGAAGCTTGAAGCCAGCCTAGGCAAGATAGCCCATGAGACTCTATATCTCTCATTAACCAGCAAAAAGTGGAAGTGGAGCTTTGGCTCAAGTAGTAGAATGCTAGCCTTGAGCAAAAAATCCTAGGGACAGCATCCAAGTCCTGGACTCAAGCCCTAGGCGTTTCATTTCTAGATTGTTCTTAGTTTTCCAGCTACCTGTCCCTGTCTCTGACATGAACACAGCACAGATTAACTTCATGTCTTTCCTTAGACTATGCCATCTCCAAGCCTGAGGTCCTCTCCCAGATTGAACAAGGCAAGGAGCCCTGCAGCTGGCGTCGTGCTGGTCCCAAGGTTCCAGAAGTTCCTGTGGACCCAAGTCCAGGTGAAGGGTTGGGAGATGGCCAGGGAATACCAGGTATTGGAATGGAGGTAGCAGCAGAGGGCCGGGAGCAATGTTTCTTATTTCCAAGTTTCCTGGAGAAAGTTAGCCTTGACCTTGATGTTTGACATCTAAGTCTTTCGGAGTTGAGTTATAACTTCTAACCTACTCACCCCATTCTCTCCCAGCTAGTACTTTTCATCCAGGCAGCCATACCAGATTTGAACCAGGGACGCAGAATTAGGAGATGAGAGAAGAGGACATTGACAGGGAAGATAGTAGCATGTTGGAGACAGATTCATTCAGAGTTTTGCAAAGAATCCTCACGGTTGTCCTTACGTGCAGTTGTAGTTGCTGAATATAAACCCATTGGGAAGCTGTATATGATTGGAGCCCTGCACTCGAGGTGAATGTGGACACGGGCTAGCCGCATGTCAGGTTTCCTTGGAGCTAGTTAGCAGCTTTGCAAGTTAAGGAAGGAATATATGAGAAAAGCCAGATTCCTAAAGAAATCTGCTGAATAATTTAGCCAGAAAGATCCTGTCTCTGTTTAGCCTCTGCTTCCTCTCTTGACTGTCTCATTGCCTGCCCACCTACCTTGGTTTCTCTTTCTCTGACACTTGCTCAAAAGTCCTCCTGTGGTTAATTCATATGTGTTCAAATGCATTCTCCATGTTTTTTGCTTCAGCTCAATTAGATATGCATTTTATCAAGGGCAGAAGCAGGTATAGGGCTGACCATACTGCCAGCTTGTTACTGACAGTCTTAGCAGTATAGTTCAACAGGTGAACTTTGAGAGTCCTCTAGATGTTGAGGACAGTGTGACGACTGCAGGGTAGAAAGGTGACTGTAGACACTAGTGTTTGCCTGGAGGAGGCCCAGGAGAGGCAGCCTCCACTTCTGAACCTGGGTGGGAGGGCAGGGTAACTGTTTGCATTGTGTTTGTTGCATATCTGGAACCTTCCCTGGCTCCTATGCCATCATCAGTGAGGGTAAATGGGGGCCCAAAGATAAGCACTTACTGATCAGACCCTTTCCAATACTGGCTGTCCACTTGACCTTGTTGGCAAGAATCCCTTGCAGCCTTGCTCGCTGTCCTCAGTCCCAAGCCTCCAGGATCCCCACTTGGCCCTCAGCTCTATATGTCTTGCTCCATACCCCTGTCAGCCCTCATCTCCTCTTTTCTCACCCCCTGTAACTCTTGCACAGATCTTTACGGGATCCACAGTGCCCAGCAAGACCTCTATGCCTAATATGGCTGGTGCTCCCTCAAGTACTGTTTGCTTGCTATGATGATACTCTAGACAGTACCTCTGCCAGCCTCCCTCCCTCCTCTCTAGAAACCCCGCCCTGGGAGCTCAGGATTGCTTGGACCTCTGAGTACCTCTCACCCTTCTTGTTTTGCTTTTTGTTTTTTGGGTTTTTTTTCTTGTCGGTCGTGGGGCTTGAACTCTGGGCCTGGGCACTCTCCCTGCGCTCTTCAGCTCAAGGCTAGCATTCTACCACTTGAGCCACAGCGCCACTTCCGGTTTTTTTCTGTTTATGTGGTGTTAAGGAATCAAACCCAGGGCCTCATGCATGTGAGGCAAGCGCTCTACCACTGAGCCACCTTCCCAGCCCTTCTCACCGCTTCTTGCTCCTCCTCCTGCCCTTGTTCATTGCTGAGGCAGTGTCCACGTGGGTGATTTTTGGCCCTTGTATGGATGAAGTCACTGTAACCCTTCCCATCTCCTATTCCTAGCATGACACTGACCTATCACCCATCCTTCCAGTTTTCTCTTCACTCATCCTCATTTCAGTCCCTCTTCTGTGGTTATTCCACATTAGCTGCCCATCTGCCTGAACCTGCTCTGGCTTCTTTGTGTTCACCCTGGTATCTACTCATTTGTCTACTCTGTGGTCCAAGGCCTAAGGCCTTACGCCTTGCCCCATCCACCTCCTTAAGGGCAACAAACAGTTCCATGTTGGCCCTGTGAGACTTTGGCATCTCTCGGTGACTGCCTCATTTCTCTGCCCTTTACAGATGACCTCAGTAGAGAGCAAGTGCGGGTCATCTCCCACCGGTCTTTGTTCACTCTCCTAAAAACTTCTTCCACCAGCCTACCTCCTCTTGTTCATGAGGTTACTGAAAGCATGTTTGGGAAATTGGCCACCAGGGCTTACTCCCTTTTTTTTTCTAAAATTAAATACTATAGACAAGATAATTTGTAAAGAAATTTCTTTCTTTTCTGGAGGCTGGGCAGTCAAGGAGACACATCTAGTGAGAACTTTCTTATTAGCAGGACTCCACAGTCCTGAGGCACTGGAGGACATCTCCTGAGAGACAAGGTCCTGCCTCAGGTCTCCTGAATTCCACTGGTGTCATCGTGGGCACCAACCCTCATGATCTCACCTATTCCTGATTATTCGGAAAGACCCCATCCCTAGTACCATTACCAAGCATTGTTTCTAACACTAGAAAACTGGACACACCCAAGCCATGGTGCTACTTCCCAGAGTCCTGTCTTGGAGTATACAGACACTTCCTTTTCTGGGCGGTCTCTTCTCCCCCTCTCTCCTTCCCTCTTTAGCTGTTTGCTGTGGCCTTTCAACAGTTTGTACAGTGGCGTGCGCTTCATCTCCCATCATCTCTCTGTCATTGTGGCCTCCACACAGATTTCCTCAGACTTCAAGCTGGGTCCGTTGAGGTTGAATTGGATTGGGTTATCTCAGCTCTGCTCATGCTCAGTCCTCGCCCTCTGCTCTGGACACCATAGAGTGAGTGCTTTACAGCTCACATCCTGACTTGACTTCTCTGTCATTTTCTCTTTGCTCCAGTACCCTTGCACTTCACCTCCTACCCAGGATTCTGGGTGTGATTTGTTCCAGATCACATAGTATCACCTATTATAGCTATTTCACATTTATAGGCCCATTGTATGTCTGGTCCCCTTTCCCATTAGAATGTAAATTCCAACAGGATAAAATTTCCTGTTTTGTTCATGTTATTATTCTAGGCACCTAGAATATTACCCACATAAAGCAAGAATTGAATACAGTTGTTTTTTTAATGTGCTGAATTTCCTCATTTAAATGTGTGTGTGGCCAGGTGTGGGTGGCTCACGCCTGTAATCCTAGCTACTCAGGAGGCTTATCTCCAATAGACACCAGAAAACCAGAAGTGGCGCTGGGGCTCAAGTGGTAGAGTGCTTGCCTTAAGCTGAAGAGCTGAGGGACAGCGCCCAGGCCTAGAGTTCAAGCCCCACAACCAACAACAAAAAAAAGTGTGTGTGGTGTGCCTGTAAAATACAGTCTGATACTCCTTACATCCCATAGGTCTCCCAGAAACATTCTTCACTAGGACAATGGCTTGTCCTGAAGATGACTCAGTCTTCCTTCCATCTACATTTTATATCTGCTATGGACATGGGTGGCGATAAACAATCAAAATTTGGTTATTGTTTTCAAATTAATATTTCACTCAATATTCTGTATTTCAGATTTATTCATGTTGATATGTAGATCAAGCTTCATTTTAGCCCAGCACTGGTGGCTCACACCTGTAATCCTAGCTATTCAGGAGGCTGAGATCTGAGGATCAAGGTGCTAATCCATGAGACTCTTCTCCTCCAATTAAACAGCAAAAAGCTGGAAGTAGAGGCTTGGCTCCACTGAAAAAGCCAGGCTAGAGTGAGCACACAGCCTTGAGTTCAAGCCCCAGTACTGGTACACACAAAAAGTGGAATTCCACCTCAAAGGGTTTGATGGACCTTGGGTAAGAACTAGACTGCCTGAAAGTTCTCAGGGATTTGGGTCTTATCCAGAAAGGTGTGGTTACTAGGCAGTATGAAATCCAGGCTCTCCCCTTTTGGCACTCCCCAAGTCGTTTTACAGTTTTGCTACTTCTTTGAGGCCACCAGAGGCCACTGCTTAGAAGTTGATGGGGTGAGCAAAGGAGTCAGGTGCCTGTGCGTTAGATCTTTGCAGGTCCTCCTTGATAGGAGGAGTTGGTTCCAGAAAGATGTAGAGTTGTTATCTTAACCATTGGTCTCAGGATGTCGCCAACTGAGAATTTAGACTGGAGGCTCCAATCCTGGGGCATTTTCTACTTTCTACTCTTGACTACGCAGCTGACTGACTTCCAGAGGTACCTGCTTTCTAACATCTTTGTCCACTCTTCAGAATTTATCTTTTTAACATTTGGATGCAGGTGAAATGGCATATTGGTTTAGTTTGTATTCATAAAGTTGAACCCCCTTTTTTAAAGTTTGTGATTTCTCCTCTTGTAAATTGTCCTTTTCTGCTTTCCTGCTGAGTTGTTTTCACTTTATTGTTAATTCTAATCTGTGTACAGGTTCTAGATACTAATCCTTTGTTATTTGTTTTACAAATATCAAGTCTGGCAGGTCTTTTAACTGTGTAGTCAGGCTGGGAAGGTGGCTCAGTGGTAGAAAGCTTGCCTTGCATGCCTGAGGCCCTGGGTTCAATTCCTCAGCACCACATAAGCAAAAAGAAAAAAGCCGGAAGTGGTGCTGTGGCTCAAGTGGTAGAGCACTAGCCTTGAGCTGAAGAGCTGAGGGACAGCGCCCAGGCCCAGAGTTCAGGCCCCACAACCGGACCCCCCCCCCAAAAAAAAAAAAAAACTGTGTAGTCTTTTTATAGTGATTTTTTATTGTTGATACAATCAAACATATCAGCCTTCTTCCTTATGATTGGTATATTTTCTGCCATAGATATCTTGCCTACCCCACTCAAAGTCAAAAAGACAATCTCCTAGATACTTTTTTCAGTCATGGGGCTTGAACTCAGGGCCTGGGCTCTGTCCCTAAGCTTTTCTGCTCAAGGATAGTGCTCTTCCACTTTGAACCACAGCTCCATTTCCAGGTTTCTGGTGGTTAATTGGAGGTAAGAGTTTCATGGACTTTCTTGCCCAGGCTGGGTTTGAACTGCAATAGAGCTCAGTCTCCTGAGTAGGATTACAGGTGTGAGCTACCAGCACCTAGCTCACCTAGGTTTTTTTTGTT